ACATAGAACTCTCTCCAGAATTAACTACGTACTGGGACACAAATCAGGTATCAACCAATACCAAAGATTGAGATTATTCCCTGCATATTCTCAGACCATAATGCTTTGCAACTGGAAGTCAAACATAAGAAAAAATTTGGAAGAAATTTAAGCACTTGGAAGCTAAAGATCATCCTGCTTAAGAATGTTTACATCAGGGGCGCCTGGGTGACTCAGTGGGTTAAAGCCTCTGCCTTCGGCTCAGGTTGTGATCTCAGGGCCCTGGGATCGAGCCCCACCTCGGGCTCTCTGCTCGCAGGAGCCTGCTTCCCTCTCTCTCTCTCCCTGCCTGCCTCTCTGCCCACTTCTGGTCTTTGTCAAATAAATAAATAAAATCTTTAAAAAAAAAAAAAAAAAAGAATGTTTACATCAACCAGGAAATCAAAGAAGAACATAAACAATTCATGGAAACCAATGAGAATGAAAACACATCGGTACAAAACCTATGGGATACTGCAAAGGTGATCCTAAGGGGGGAATATATAGCCATCCAAGCCTCACTCAAAAAAATAGAAAAGTCCCATATACACAAATTAACTTTACACCTTCAGGAACTGGAAAAGGAACAACAAATAAAGCCTAAGCTGTGCACGAGAAGAGAAGTAATTAAGATTAGAGCAAACATCAATGAATCAGAAACCAGAAATATAGTAGAGCAGATCAACGAAACTAGAAGCTGGTTCCTTGAAAGAATTAATAAGACTGGTAAACCACTGGCCAGACTTATCCAAAAGAAAAGAGAAAGGACCCAAATTAATAAAACCATGAATGAAAGGGGAGAGATCACAACTAACGCCAAGGAAACAGAAACAATTATTAAAAATTATTATCAATGACTATATGCCAATAAATTAAGGAACCTGGAAGAAATGGATGTCTTCCTGGAAACCTATAAAATACCAAGACTGTAATCGGGAGAAAATGACAACCTGAATAGACCCAATAATCAGTAATGACATTGAAGCAGTGATCAAAACACTCCGAAAAAACAAGAGTCCAGGGCCTCATGGAGTCCCTGGAGGATTCTACCATATTCTACACATTCAAAGAAGAAATATACCTATTCTCCTGAAGCTCTTTCAAAAAATACAAACAGAAGGAAAACTTCCAAACTCATTCTGTCGGGCCAGCATTACCTTGATCCCAAAACCAGGCAAAGACCCTATTAAAAGGAGAATTACAGGACAATATTCCTGATGAATATAGATGCCAAAATTCTCAACAAGATCCTACCCATTAGGATCCAACGGTACATTAAAAGGGTTATCCATCATAACCAGGTGGGATTTATCCCTGGGATCCAAGGTGGTTCAACGTTTGCAAATCAGTGTGATAGAACACATTAATAAGAGAAGAGATAAGAACCATATAGTCCTCTCAATTGATGTAGAAAAAGTATTTGACAAAGTACAGCAAATCCTTTCCTGAATAAGACTCTTTAGAGTGTAGAGACAGAAGGAAGATTCCTCAATTTCATAAAAACCATCTATGAAAAGCCCACAGCAAAAATCATTCTTCATGGAGAAAAGCTGACAGCCTTCCCCTTTAGATCATGAACGTGACGAGGATGCCCACTCTCGCCACTATTGTTAAACATAGTACCAGAAGTCCTAGCAACAGCAATTAGAAAACAAAAGGAATGAAAGGTATTCAAATCGGCAAAGAAGAAATCAAATTCCCTCTCTTTGCAGATGACATGATACACTTTATGTGGAAAACCCAAAGACTCCACTCCCAAATTACTAGAACTCATACAGCAATTCAGTAATGTGGCAGGATACAAAATCAATGCACAGAAATCTGTTGCATTTCTATACACCAACAATGAGACCGAAGAGAGAGAATTAGGGAATTAATTCCATTTACAATAGCACCAAAAACCATAAGATACCTTGGAATAAACCTAACCAAAGAGGTGAAGGATCTATACTCGAGGAACTACAGAACACTCACGAAAGGAATCGAAGACACAAAAAGATGGAAAAACATTCCATACTCATGGACTGGAAGAGTAAACATTGTTAAAATGTCTATGCTGCCCAGAGCAATCTATACTTTCAAAGCCATCCTGATCAAAACACCAAGGGCATTTTTCCAAGTCCTGGAACAAACAATCCTAAAATTTGTATGGAACCAAAAAAGACCCTGAACCACCGGGGAAATGTTGAAAAAGAAAAAAAAAAAAAGTGCTGGGGGCATCATGTTGCCTGACTTCAAGCTATATTACAAAGGTGTGATCACCCAGACAGCATGGTACGGGCACAAAAACAGACACATAGATCAATGCAACAGAACAGAGAGCCCAGATATGGACCCGCAACTCTATGGTCAAATAATCTTCAACAAAGAAGGAGAAAATATCCAACGGAAAAAACACAGTCTCTTCAATAAATGGTGTTGAGAAAATTGGACAGCTATATACAGAAGAATGAAACGTGACCATTCTCTTACACCATACACAAAGATAAACTCTAAATGGATGAAAGACCTCAATGTGAGGCAGAAATCTCTCAAAATCCTAGAAGAGAACACAAGCAGTCACCTCTTCGACATCAGCCACAGCTACTTCTTTCGAGACACGTCTCCAAAGGCAAGGGAAACAAAAGCGAAAATGAAAAATGAACTTTTGGGACTTCATCGAGATCAAAATTTCTGCACAGCAAAGGAAACATTCAACTAAACAAAGAAGCAACCCATGGAATGGGAGAAGATATTCACAGATAACACTACAGATAAAGAAAGGGCTGGTATCCTAGATCTATGAAGAACTTCTCAAACTCAACACCCAAAAAACAAATAATCAAGTCAAAAAATGGGCAGAAGACATGAACGGACACTTCTCCAAAGACAAATGAATGGCTAACAGACACAGGAAAAAATGCTCAACGTCATTAGCCATCAGGGAAATTCAAATCAAAACCACATTGAAATATACCTTATACCAGTTAGAATGGCAAAAATTGACAAGGCAAGAAATAACAAATGTTGGAGAGGATGTGGAGAAAGGAAATGAAAGTTGGTGCAGCCACTTGGGAAAACAGTGTGGAGGTTCCTAAAAAGTTAAAAATAGAGCCATCCTATGACCCAACAACTGCACTACTGGGAATCTATCCCCAAAGATACAGACGTGGTGAAAGAAGGGCCACATGCACCCCAATGTTCATGGCAGCAATTATCACAATAGCCAAACTGTAGAAGAAACCAAGATGACCTTCAACAGACGAATGGATAAAGAAGATTATTTATACATACATACAATGGAATATTACTCAGCCATCAGAAAAGATGAATACCCACCATTTGCATTGACATGGATGGAACTGGAGGAAATTATGCTGAGTGAAATAAGTCAAACAGAGGAAGACAATTACCATATGGTTTCACTTATTTGTGGAACATAAGGAATAGCATGGAGGACATTAGGAGAAGGAAGGAAAAAATGAAAGGGGGGATCTCAGAGGGGTAGGCAACCCGTGAGAGACTACGGACTCCAGGAAACAAACTAAGGGTTTTAGAGGGTAGGGGAGCCGGGGGATGGGTTAGCCCAGTGATGGGCATTAAGGAGGGCATGTATTACAATGAGCACTGGGTATTGTACAAAAACAGTAAATGTTATATGAAAACATGGAACACTATAACAAAAACTAATGATGTACTGTATGGTGATTAAGACAACATAATTTTTAAAAAAGGAATAATTATTTTGAGGTTCATCCATGTTGTTGCAGGAGTTAATAGTTCATTACCTCTTATTTCCAACTAGTAGTCTGTTATGCAGATATACCAGAGTGTGTTTAGTCATTCACCCACTGATGGGCATTTGAGTTACAAACTGTCCATGGGAGACATGAGTTGCTTTTTGACCTATCTTTTGCCCTCACAATTATTTATTAGTTAAAATAAAGGGGCAGCTGGGTGGCTCAGTGGGTTAAAGTCTCTGCCTTCGGCTCAGGTCATGGTCTCAGGGTCCTGATCGAGCTCCACATCAGGCTCTCTGCTCAGCGGGGAGCCTGCTTTCTCCTCTCTCTCTGCCTGCCTCTCTGCCTACTTGTGATCTCTGACAAATAAATAAATAAGATCTTTAAAAAATAAAAAAAAAATTTTTTTAAATTTAAAAAAGATCAACAGCTCAGACTAAACTCCCCTGCAAAGATGTAATAGAAAATAGAGCGCCGATGTGGGGCTCAATCCCAGGACCCTGAGATCATGACCTGAGCCGACGGCTGCGGCTTAACCCACTGAGCCACCCAGGCGCCTGAAATGTGTGGTTTTCAAATAGCTTCCTGGCACACTCTTTTTCTCTTAGTCCTATGTGGACGCCCTTTTAGATTATTAAGACTCTACTGAGCCAGGAGGCTAAGTTAGTTCACTGATTGACTTTTTTTTTTTTTAATCTATTTCCAACATAAAAATTTACCAAAATCAGAGTAAGAGTCAAACTTGCCAAACTCCATTACAGAGTAACAATTTAGCAGTTCTGTCTAAAATTGAAGATCTATATTCACAGTATTCAAATCTAAATTATCTAAATATATTTCATTCCCACATGTTAACAGAAAAAATCTCTTCAGACATTGATGACCAGTTTAGCGACATCTGGATTAGAGTCACTGGATAATATAGAGGACAAACAGTTAAATTTGAATTTCAGAGAAACAACAAAATATATTAGCATAAATATGCCCCAAGCAATATTTGGGATAGATAATATAAAATTTAATGGGGCCTCCTGTTTCTACTTTCTTGGTAAATCTGGCAAGCCTAATATGCACAGGAATGTTCTGCAAGTACATTTTTGAAGTTCAAATAAAGGGCAATGTTAAGTATTGAGATTGAAACTCATTACAGGATTCAGGATTGTGACTTATGAAATTTTCTCCACCCCACTCCCCCCATTCAGAGGACAAAACCCAAAGACATAGGAAAAAAAATATGTATATATATATATTAAGTATGCTTACACAAATCCTGGAAATCCGTTTCTAGTAAGGATAATAATATTGACAATAGATCCTCCGTGCTCTTTCATCCAGGAGTTGTAAACTGCAGGAAACAGCCAATGACAATCATATGAAATAGCGTCCTGACTCTCTTCTTACTCACTGTCCCACCATCTTGCTTGCTATTTAAAAATTTTTAATTTCAGGGTACCTGGGTGGTTCAGTGGGTTAAGCCTCTGCCTTTGGCTCAGCCCTGCAGCAGGCTCTCTGCTCAGCAGGGAACCTACTACCCTCTCTCTCTCTGCCTGCCTCTCTGCCTACTTGTGATCTCTCTCCCTGCCAAATAAATAAATAAAATCTTAAAATTTTTTTAAATTTACAGTTCCTTTTTTTAAAAGCCTGACTGAATATAATTTTAATATCATGAAAGTCATCCACTTTATGTGTACAATTTAATGATTTTTGATAAACATACAGTCATGCAACCACCATGACAATCCAGTTTTAGAACATTCCATCACCCCCAAAAACATTGCTTTGTGCCCATCTGCAGCCAAGCCAACCCCACGCAAACCCTCATCTACTTTCCATTTATAGAAATTTGTCTTTTCTGGACATTTCACATAAATGAAATCACACCATAGGTGGTCTTTTGTGTCTGGCTTCTTTTACTTAGAATATTATCTGTAAGGTTCATCCACAGGGTAACGTGTATCAGTAGTTAATTGTTATTGCAGAATCGTATTCCAGTGAATAGACAGGCCTTATTTCATTTGTCTACTCACCAGAGGATGAACATTTGAATTGTTTCCACTGGTGCGTCATGAAGAATACAAACTGTTGGGTGGACATATGTTCTTATTTCTCTTGGGTAGATGCTTGGGAATGGAACGGCTGGGTCATATGGCAACTGTATGTTTAACTTTTTAAGTAACTGCCAAACTATTTTCGGTGTTTGGCAGTTACTTAAACGGTGTCTCCACTATTTTACGCTATTTTCCATTTCTACCAGATATGCACGAGGGTTGCAGTTTCTCCATGCTATTATTGCCTAATTTTTTTTATTATAACCATTCTAGTGGGTATGAAGTGATATTTCACTGAAGTTTTCACCTGATGTCCCGAATGACTAATGGTGCTGACAATCTTCTGATGTACTTATTAGCCATTCATTTATTTTCTTTGGTAAAATATCTATTCAAATATTTTGCTCATTTTTTAATTGGTTTGTTTTCTTAATACTGAATTATAAGAGCTCTTTTTATGTTCTGGATACAAGTCCTTTATCAGATATGTGATTTCCCTCAGTCTGGCTTATCTTTTCATTTTCTTAATGTTGTCTTTTTAAGTGCAAACATATTTAAGCCAAGTTTATCAATTTTTTTTTATTTATACATGGTATTCTAGATGGTGTATGTCAGGACTCTGCCTAAGTCAAGGTCATAAAGATTTTGTGCTTTATTAGTTTCCAAAAGTTACACAATTTTACCAATTGCATTTAGGTCTATGGTCCATTTTGTACTTTTGGTTAACTTTTACTTATGGTATGAGGGAAGGGTCTTCTTACGTGTGATGTCCCGGACCATCTGCTGAAAGACAATCATTTCCCCATAGAAATGCCTTGCCCCCCTTGGCAAAAATCGAAAATATAAGGGATTGATCACAACTATAAGGGTTTATTTCTAGACTTTCAAATTTGTCCAAAATATCTATTCATCTGTCCTTATGCCAGTAGCACATTGTCTTGAAATCAAGAAGTATAAGTCCTTCAACTTTCCTGGTTTGCAAAACTGTTTTGGCTACTCTGAGTCCTTTGCACTTCCACATGTATTTTAGGATCTGCTTGTCATTTTCTGCAAAAGTAATAGGGACTGCGTTGAACCTACATACCAATTTGGGAAGAACTACAACCTTAACCGTATCAAGTCTTCCAATTCATAAATACTGAATGTTTTTCCATTTATTCTGATCCTTCATTTCTGTCAGCAATGTTTTGTCGTTTTTAGATACAAGTCTTATCCTGTTTTTGTTAATTCTTTAGGTATTTTCTTTTCAATTTTGGTGTTTTTTTTTAGGGGGAGAGAGTGGGAGTGGGGTTGGGGGGTAAGGTGGAGGGAGAAGAGAGAATCTTAAGCAGGTTCTACAACCAGCGAAGAACCCTACACAGGACTCAATCTTGTGAGAGCTCATGACCTGAGCTGAAATCAAGAGTCAGATCCTCAACTGATGAAGCCACCAGGTGTCCCTCATTCTTTAAGTATTTTATCCTTTTTTGAAGGCCCATTTGATATTTAGCCATCAACTCTATTCATACAAATCAAGACAACATCAGATGTGTACCCTCAAGACTCACTTCAATAGGAATCTAATTTTTAGAATGTAAAGGCCAGAGAACAAGGAAAGACCCATTCCTATTAAGAGCTTAGACAAAAATAAAAATGGTTTCCCATCATTACTTAAGGCTTTCCAGTTGAGTTCTTCCCAATTCATATTAGATGACAGAAAAAGGAGGTAAAGCCCCCAGAAAAGAAGACATAAAATATGGTATTTTTGGAATCTAAGACAATTCTTTCATATTATTTTGAAGTTGTTGAAACTGGGATATGTTTTACACTTGGTGGCTTCGTAGGATACAAATAACGCTGTTTCTACTTTCTTAGTAGTGTATAAAATGATGGTGCATTTCACCAAAGATACATTGACAGTATCTTTCATTCAATGAAATACATTATTTATTTTTAGACAACATGACTGTGTAGCTAAAACACCTGAAATGCTAATTTCAAACACTGTTAGATAAACTACAAATTACCAGATAAAGCTACAAGATGAACTAGAAAAAGTAGTTCTTCCATAAACCAACAATAATCCAGCTGAAAATAATTGGGAAAAGAACCATTCAAAATAGCAGGCATCGGAGTGCCATCATGGCTCAGTCAGTTAAGCATTTCCCTTCAACTCAGGTTATGATCCCAGGGTCTTAGGAACAAGCTCCGCATCAGGCTCCCTGCTCAGTGGGGAGCCTGCTTCTCCCTCTGCTTGTGCTCCCCCTGCTTGTGCTCTCTTGCTCTCTGTCAAAAAAATAAAATCTTAAAAAAAAAAAAGATGATAAATATAAATAAAATAAAGGATAATAAAATAAATATAATAAAATAAATATAAATATACATTATAGATCTATATAAATATATAAAATAAAATATAAAAAATAAATATAAATAAAATAAAAATAAAAGATAATAAAATCTTTAAAAAAAAAACCTCCCTCTGCTTGTGCTTCCCCTGCTTGTGCTCTCTTGCTCTCTGTCAAAAAAATAAAATCTTTAAAACAAAAGAAGAAAGAAAGAAAGAGGTCATGAATAGCCCGAAAAGTTTGGAAATGAAAATAACTATGTATCAAATATCTAAAAAAAATAAAAATAAAAACTATGTAAAAATAAAGAGATATAAATTTATTTCAATTACCCTACACAGACTTTCTGCTTTTGCTGAAAGAGTACTCTATGTTAGAACTCTGAAATCAGGAGCACCTGGGTGGCTCGTCATTAAGCGTCTGCCTTTGGCTCAGGTCATGATCCCAGGGTCCTGAGATCCAGCTCCACATCAGGCTCCCTGCTCAGTGGGAAGTGTGCTTCTCCCTCTCCCATTCCCCCTGCTTGTGTTCCCTCTCTCTGTGTGTCTTTCTCTGTCAAATAAATAAATAAATAAATAAAGTCTTACAAAAAAGAACTCTGAAATCATCTTTGTGTTTTTCCCCTGACACTTCCAGAGCTGCCATGGGAATATTTCTTTAAGAAATGTGAGGTAGTCTCAGATGCCAATCACAAGTCCAGCTTGTTACATGTGCTTCCCACCAAGGGGCTAGAAATCAGAGGTTCCCATGAAACAGCCAGCCACAACGAATGTAAAGCTTTATACTACTAGTTCGATGAAGTTGAAAGCTGCAAATGTCTGCAAGATTTGGACTTAGAGATGTTAAGAATATAAAGCCTAATCCATATTAGGATGAAGACCCTCTGGGTTGGAATTCTACCTGGTCTGTGGTTTTCATCACGAAAATGTCTTCGATTGTTTTTAACTAAACCCTTGAATTACTCAATGTCAGGAGTTGAATATCATCACCTGTGAAATATGACTTTCAATCCAAAGATCTACATGCATGCTAATTAGTTGTTAGTCAGAAAGGATGTGGACTCTGGCATTCTCCCTGAAGATCTGACCAGTTACAAGAGATTAAACAGATTCATTTCTTTAAAACTAAGTGTGAGAGGGTTTTGTTTTTTTTTTAAATTTCAGGAACAACTTCGTACTATATCTTTGTACAGATTCTTAATAATTTTCTCATGATAAACTCCTAGAAATAAAATTATAAGATCAAACTATACCCATATTTTACAAATATTGCCAAATTACTATCCAGAAAAGCAGCAATTTACATCTCTGTGTCGTATGCAAGCAAATCAGGGCAGTCAGTACTGCAGACATGGAGTTTCTGAGCCCCCAACAATTCTCTTGGAAGATTCTCTATGATCTAGAGGCACCTAGGTGGCTCAGTGGGTTAACCCTCTGCCTTCGGCTTAGGTCATGATCTCAGGGTCCCAGGATGGAGTCTGATCTCGGGCTCCCTGCTCAGGGGTAGCCTGCTTCTCCATTTCCACTCCCCCTGCTTATGTGCGCGCGTGCTCTCTCTCTCTCTCTGACATATAAATAAAATCTTTAAAGAAAAAAAAGATTCTCTATGATCTTTAAATACAGACACCTTGCTTTTTTGGGTTATTGGTCATACTCACCTGCTTTGCACATGTAGAAGGTGCCCGTCAGATTGGTCTCAATCACAGCATGCCATCCCTTTGCACTGATGTTTTCTGCAGGAGACGTGAACTGGCCTCCTCCATTGTTTACCAAAAAATTGATCTTACCGTAAACATCTAAGGTAGATTTGACCAAATTCTCCACCTAAAGAAAAATGTCAAAAGTAAACCGGTGAACAACTTCACTTGCTAGTTGGACTGACAGCTTACTCTGGGAGAAGAACTTGAAGTCTATCGCAGTAAATGGTATCAGTACAGGTAGCCGAAATCCAGTTAAAATTAACACCAAAAAATTACTTAAAAGGGGAGCCTGTCTGGCTCAGTTGGTACAGCATGTGACTCTTGATCTTGGGGTTGTGAGTTTGAGCCCCACGTTGGGTGCACAAATGACTGATCACTTAAAAATAAGATCTTAGGGGCACCTGGGTGGCTCAGTGGGTTAAAGCCACTGCCTTCAGCTCAGGTCATGATCCCAGAATCCTGGGATCGAGCCCCGCATCGGGCTCTCTGCTCAGCCGGGAGCCTGCTTCCTCCTTTCTCTCTCTGCCTGCCTCTCTGCCTACTTGTGATCTCTGTCTGTCAAGTGAATAAATAAAATCGTTAAAAAAAAAAAATAAGATCTTAAAAAAAAATAAAGAAATGACTTAAAGGGCAAAAGGCACAAAAAGTATTCTTGCTGAGACCACATCCTTGCTTAGCTTCCTTAAAGATTGTTTCTTTCCTCTCCTCCCCCAGGCGGTAATACTCAGTATATCATTAGCGAAAGAATCTCTTTTACAGGGTGCCTGGGTGGCTCAGTGGGTTAAGCCTCTGCCTTAGGTTCAGGTCATGATCTCAGGGTCCTGGGATCGAGTCCCGCATAGGGCTCTCTGCTCGGCAGGGAGCCTGCTTCCCCTTTCCCTCTGCCTCCTTGTGATCTCTCTGTGTCCAAAGGAAAAAAAAAATCTCTTTTACAGCCTCTGCTTCTAGTTAACCTCATCTAAGACCCCTACCACAGGAACATCTGAAGCACTAGTTTTAGGAACCACTACTGTAAATAAAATGAATGAATGAATAAAGGATATAGACATATTTGCATTACCTCCTCTTCCTTGCGGATGTTGCATTTTATGGGAGTAACCTGAGCCTGGTTGTTGGAGGGCAGGCTGGCCTTGAGTTCTGTTGCAACAGATTTTAATCTATCAAAGTTACGAGATGCAATGACCACATTACACCCTGAAAAGACAACAGTCAAGAAATAGTAAATATGCTTTCATTGGTAAATATGCTTTCACTGGTTGTCTAAATTAAGAAAAAAAAAAAGTTCAGAAGTTCTTTCACGTGTACCCATTAAAGAATGGTGAATCAGGGGGTGCCTGGGTGGCTCAGTGGGTTAAAGCCTCTGCCTTCGGCTCAGGTCATGATCCCAGGGTCCTGGGATCGAGGCCCTCACTGGGCTCTCTGCTCGGCAAGGAGCCTGCTTCCCCCTCTCTCTATCCGCCTGCCTCTCTGCCTACTTGTGATCTGTCAAATAAATAAATAAAGTCTTTTAAAAAAAAATGGTGAATCAGGACTTCTGCCTCTGGTTAAGATCGAACATCAATAATGGAGTTTTCCCTCCAGACCAATGGAACAAAAAAAAACTGGGCAAAGTATAATGCAGAACGGCTTTCAGTCACAGGACATGGGGTAGCAAGGCACAGAGATCTATCTCAGAGAGTGGAAACAAACAATGTGAGCCCTATGATCATTCCAGCTCGATGCCTGAAGAGCGTTTCCCAGGTACAGCCCAGGGGGGAGGAAGAGGAACCATTCAGATTCCAGGACGAGATAAAGTTGGGAGTCAAGGTAGGCCAAGAAGGCACTGGAGATAGTGTTTCTTTTATCTTTTCTTTTCTTTCTTTTTTTTTTTTTAGATTTTTAAAATTTATTTGACAGACAGATCACAAGTAGGCAGAGAGTCAGGCAGAGAGAGAGGGAGAAGCAGGCTTCCCGCTGAGCAGAGAGCCAGATGCGGGGCTCAATCCCAGGACAGTGGGATCATGACCTGAGCCAAAGGCAGAGGCTTCAACCCACTGAACCACCCAGGCGCCCCGCAAATAGTGTTTCAAACAGGCAAAACCTCATTTGAAAAGCCAATGGGTAAGATACTCAGAAGGGTATGGCCTGAGTGGTGAAGCAAAATTACTCTAGATTAACTAGATTAGAGGCTATTCAGGTCAATACTTAACATATAACAAGTCTCTCTTAAAGTATCAAACTGTTTCCAAAGAATCTAAGAACAGAAATAACTTCTGGGATGCAGTTAACACAGAACAAAAGCTCAAGAATATTTATTTATTCATAAAGATTTTATTTATTTATTTGACAAACAGAGATCACAAGTAGGCAGAGAGGCAGAGAGAGAGAGGGAAGCAAACTTCTGCCCAGCAGAGAGCCTGATGCAGGACTCGAACCCAGGATCCTGAGATCATGACCTGAGCCTTAGGCAGCAGCTTAACCCACTGAGCCACCCAGGCGCCCCAAAGCTCAAGAATATTTAAATGAATATAAAAATAACCAGCATCCAACAAGGTGAAATTAAAATGTTCAGCAGTAATGCAAAGAAGCAGGTAAGTCCAACCCATCATGAGGAGAAAAGTAAGTTAATAAAAACAAAAACATTAATGGCAATGACATTATCATTAAATAATCCAGTGATAAAGAGAAAAATATGAAAAGTCTCCCCGCGTTTCCTCATTCGGTAATCCATAGCACGGGTTCATTCTAAACACATCTATAAAGAATTCCACAGCACGTTTCCACAGGTCTCCTTGTTCCCTACCTCGACCACGTTATCTGTGATTCTAACTCTTCCCTTTAGTTCACAAATAGTGGTTTGTGAACTTCAACGCTTCTGCAGCATTTCTTAGAGAGACTCTTCCCTCCCCCCGCCGCGGTTTCAACGTCGCCTACAGGTACAGCCTGTTGGCTTGGCCAGTCCACGTCTCCTGGCTCCCGAACCCCCTTAGGCCAGTGTGTGTCTCTGCCGACCTCTTGATCTTAAGTAGCCTGACCCAGAGGGCCCGCTCGCGTACCCAGGTGCAGCAGCTCCGTGGCGATGGCCTTTCCGATACCCGTGGCCCCTCCGGTGACGATGGCCAGTTGGTGTTTCAGCAGGCCCGGCGCTAAGCAGCTCCTGCACTCGCCCCAAACGGCCATGTCGGTAGGAAGCCAGACTCCCGAAAGCGCTAAGGTCACTAACCAGTCGGTCTCCGAAGGGCGACGGTATAGGCTCCCTGCCCACGTGACCGCCCGGGCCCCGCCCCGCCCCGCCGCTCCTCCCCCGGCGCCCGGCGCCCCGCCCCGGCGCCCGGCGCCCCTCCCACGGCGCGGCAGGTCCCCATCCTCCCAGCGGACGGCTGCTCCCCGGCGGCGGCTGCCCGACTGGGTCTGGGTCCTCTGCCAGACTTTGTCCGCGGCATGTGTAGGTGAGATCTCTTGTTCGTTGGGTTTGGGTTTTTGGTTTTAAATTTCGGTGCCATTGTGGGGACCGCAGGAAGGGAAGCAGACAAAAAGCGGGCGCGTGCTCCATTTCCAAACATCCTCGGTGCTTTAGCTCTCGTGGTTAATTAAGACAGAATTCTCCAGGGCACCTGGGGAAGGAGAGGCTGCAGTTGTTGTGTGCCTCTGGCTGGGAAGGAAAGGGGCAGGCTTAGCGGAGGGGGAAGAAATCTGCCCTCCAGATCCTTTCCCCCTCTGGAAGGGACGCTGAGCGCTGAGTTGGGTTGTGGGGGTGGGGAGTGGGATGCGGTTGTAGTTATCTACAGAACCAAGATAATAAATGATTTTAAAAATAAACTCGAGCCTACCTCCACCTCATCTCCCTTTTCCCGCCCAGGAATGAAGGGAAGACGCAACCTTTACCCCATTCGAGATCTAATCCATTTCAGCCAGGCTGCAGAAACTGACGAATCCACGGGTGTGTGCTTCCTGCAAGAACGCTGATGTAGGTGTGTGAGATCCTATCGTCGAGTTCATTCCTCAAGCAGGGAAGCAAGCATTCGGAGGATGGGGGGGGGAGGGGCGTGGAATTTCTCATCCGCAGTTTGATGTCCAGTAGCCCAGGGTTATTATTCAGATTCTCCTCCGCATTGTTCATCTAGCTTCCCC